TTTGAATCTTTGGCAAACGGGATGAGGGACTTTCTTGCCAAAATTTGCAATCCTTTTTCACCAATGTGAGCCAGTCTTTTGTGCCACAAATTTGGCGAAGCATCATCCTCGACTGCATTTAGTCCACCTTTGATCAGCTTCACTTGAGTTCTGTACAGTGTTGATCTCACTGTACCTCTAGCAGCTAACAATGATCCTTTGGTAAGCTTCCATGTGCCGCTACCAAAATTGTTAGTATAGCCTGCTAGATCCAATGCATGAACAGAGATCAAATTCAGACGTAAGTCAGGTACATGTCGCACATCCTTCAGTGTTATTGTGCACCCAATATCAGTTTGAATGCACACATCACCAACTCCCACAATATTTGAAATGCTGTCGTTGCCCATCTTTACTTTACCAAAGTCTCCTTCTTTTTATAGAGAAAAGAATTCCTTGTGAGAGGTTGCATGGTAAGATGCTGCTGAGTCAACGACCCATTCAACACATGAATCTGCAACGTGACACTCTTCTTCTTCAACAGAGAGCAACACCACTTCCCCATTGATCACAGGGGTTGCGGTATTTTCATCGTTCTCTGATTTGTTGTTCCTCCGATCTCTGTTCTTCCAAGCTTTACAGTTTCTTTTGATATGCCCTTCTTCACCGCAGTGATAACACTTGAATTTGCTTCTGGGTTGAGATTGCGATTTATCTCTGGATTTGTTATTGCGGCCTCTGCTTTTACTTCTCCCCCTGGTTTCTGTGACCAGGGCTTGGGAGCTACTTGCCCCTGAATCTTTTCTTCTTGTTTCTTCATTAAACATACTGTCTTTGACTTGGGTCAAAGTTAGTTTTCCTTCAGGAGCAGAGTTGCTTAAGGAGACCACCAGAGTCTCCCAGCTATCCGGTAAAGAACTCAAAAGTAACAGCGCCTGCAGTTCTTCATCAAGTTTCATCTCCATGGTAACAAGTTGGTTTACCATGTCTTGAAACTCATTCAAGTGTTCTGCAACCGACCTTCCATCCCGATGTTTTAAATTCACAAGCTTTCTAATAATAAAAGCTTTATTTTGTGCAGTCTTCCTTTGATACATCTGCTCGATTTTGTTCCACAGTGTATGGGCTTTCGACTCTGTGGCAACATGGTGGAATATGCTGATATCCACCCACTGTCTGATTAAACTGACAGCCTTCCTGTGTAATTTTTTCCAGTCGTCATCCTTCACGTCATCTGGCTTGTTATCTCTCTTTTCTACAGGATCATACAGATCTTTGTAGAAAAGTATGTCCTCCATTTTTGGCTTCCAAATGGAGTAATTTGTTGCTGTCAGCTTCACCATGATACCCACGTTCTCCTCCATTTAATTTACACGGGTTGATACAGAGCCCAACTTGAGCTCTGTTACCACTTGTTGGGCTCAGATGCGCAAATGCGGAAGGTGTAAATTAAAACACCAACTTGAAATGGTGAATAATAATAATAATCTCAGCAACTCAAAAATAAAATCTCTTGCAATCAAATAGGAATAATTCTTTTTTGATGTAGAAGATCAGATTAAACTGCAACCACAGAGCATACTAAGAATATCCCAAATAAATAAAATATGCAAGAAATAAGACACCAAGATTTAACGTGGAAAAACCTCCAATTAGAGGAAAAAACCACGAGACAACCTCCGAACAATTCCACTATATTTTCAAGATAATTACAATATCTTTTCACACTCCCTTACACTAGAAATGTAAAATATAGTGACCCAGTGAAACCCCACTCCTATTCAAATATTACAAACAAGGAGTAATAGAGATGATATCTGACCCGGTGTATTTTTCCCACACTCACAGGATTTACTCAAACACTCTATTTTTACAACTCACTGAAAAATCTAACACTCCAGGAACTGAATATTTTGTTCCTGTTATTTTTCTCTCTTGCTTGGTGTGTTTCCTCCGCTGAGCACTCCCTCTATTTATAGGGGAGGAAGTACCATGTGAACAGAAAAAAAACTTGCGACTGCACCTTCATTGCTTCTTCTGGCACGTACTGATGGTTGCATACGTCAGCAGCTGCGACGGGTTTCCATTTGAGGGGTTCCAATTTGACGGGAGCTTGAGGTCTGTGATGAAGAATTGTGTATTCATCAGTCTGAGGGGTTTCAATTTGAGGGGTTATGTTTGTAAAATTAGATTAGTGATAGGGACTCATGTGCAGATTGATAAAGTTTTGTTTCAATTTGAGCCTGACTGTGATTAATTGACTGTCCATGAAGCATTATCGGAAATTAATGGTTGAAATTCTTGATATGATGCATTAGTATATAAATGTAATAGTTTTTTGTTAGCTGCTCTTATTATTGATTTGGTTGTTGTACAGCTTAGTGCCATTTATGCTTCATAAAATTATTGATTGATAAAGCTTGTGGACAAAAGTGACATTAATCCTACCAATGTTATTTTTTTATCACAATCGAAATTAAAATGGAACATAAATGATCAATTTAATTGGCCAGTTATTCGATTAATCGAAATAACTGAATTGATTTATTATGTATATTTATAATATTGTAGTCAATATTTTAAAATTAAAAGTAAAAATAATTAATTGTTAATAGTATAAAATTTCGAATCGAAAATTTTAGTCTTGTCAATTATGGTCGCTATTGTATAAAAAATATACAAAGTAATATTTTTTATATAATTTGGTTTTTATTTCGGTTATTTAAATACAAAGAAAATGACATCGTACCGAATTTTCTGATATATAAAAAAAATAATAATCATAGAACCAAAATATAAAAATTCGTAACGAATTTCTGTTCGTTGGATATTGTTCGATTTTGTGCAATCCGATAGACATTTATGTGCAATCCGTATAACCCTAATGTGCACTTCCAATACATAAAAAAGAAAAGGATAAAAAATAGTAGCATTTATAATAAAAAAAATTTAAATTAATAAAAAAGAAATTGGTAATATTTTTTTCATATAGTTCGGCATGTTCGGTTATTTTGTTTATTTAACAATAACTAAATTCAGCATTAATCAATTAATATTATTCGATCAATCATTAAAATTACTATAATTCTAGTATGTGGAACGTGTGTGTTATAAGGTGCAACGTATTGTTGTATAAAGTGCAATGCATTGATATATAAAGTGCAATACTGGAATTTTAGTATTTTAACAGGAATGGGTTTTTTTTTGTGGATATATAATGTGATGGATATTAATGTATTATGTCACTCCGTTTTTTATATTTATATTGCGTAATATTTTGGTGGGAATTGTTGACATTAATTGTGGAGAGTGGTTATAAAGTGCAACGTATTGTTTTATAAAGTTCGACGTGTTGTTTTATAAAGTGCAATATGTTGTACTCTGTATAATGATATTTTTAACGTGCAAATCCAAACACGATACGGTGCAACCCACTGAACATTAAAGTGCAACTATCAACTTTCATTAATTTACAAATTTAAAACCCATGATCAAATTGCAATAAAATTAAAAAAAATATATTTTCAAACAAGTCCCTTCAACCTATCTAATTTACAAAAAAAGGCCCAACCCCTAATTTCTCCCCTAATTTCTGAACGTTTCCAATCTCCTATGATTTCTGAAAATTGTTGCAGCTTGTTTCCATTACTCGGTCTCGGCAGACGGCGCCGCATCGAGACGGGCTGAGACGGCAGGGGAGAGGGCGGAGATGGCAGCCTCGCCGGACATTGTCGACCTTGATTTGGAAGGCGGCGGCGGCGGCGAGTTTTGGACGAGGCGCGCGGCTGAGGAGGATTATACGGTCACGGCGGCGAGATTCCGACTGCGACCATGGGTGCCGCCGACGAGGAGTGGGTCACCAAGCCTCTGCTCGAACGGGCCCTGCACTCCATGAAGGTGTTGCCACTGCTAGAGGGGGATGATGACGGAGACGGCGGAGCTTGCACGGCGGCGACCTCGGCGGGATTAACGGCGATGACGGTGGCGGTTTCGCGTCGTCGAAGGCGTTATTGGCGGGCGGCAGAGTGGCTAGCGATGACCGGTGGAGGAATTGTGACGA